TTTTTTTTTTTTTTTTTTTTTTTTTCTTTGTTTGTTATTAAGATATTGAATAGAAGAAGAAAAGAAGAGAAGAATTAATATAAAAGAAAGAATATATAAATAAGATTAAATAATATTTAATTCTTCATCTCCTTCTTCTCCTGTTGCTGTTGCTGCTGCTCCTTCTAATGCAATTTCTTGTTCTAATTCATTTTCTTGTATTTCTTGATTAAATTCATCATTTTGTGCAATTTCTTCCTCTAATTCATTATTATATATATATCCTTGATCATCATCACCAAATAAATCACCATCTCCTTCGCTATCTACACCTTCTTCTGTATACATATAAACATATATATACACATATATATATAAGTAATTAATAAATGTATTATTCATGAATAAGAAGAAAAAAGACAGCAGCAGCAGCAGCAGCAGCAAGAAGAAGAAGAAGGAGGAAAGGAGGATATAATATACTTACCATCAATTTTTGGTTCTTCTTCTGCTGCATCTGCTGCAGTATCAGGAGGATTTGCTGCTGCTCCTGCTCCTGCTGCTCCTGCTGCTGCTCCTGCTGCTGCTGCTGCTGCTGCTGCTGCTGCTTCCTCTTCTTGTGGCTGAGGTTTAACTTGTCCTATTGACTTTACTCTTGCCATTGTCTCTGGTGAATCTTCTATAAGAAAAAAAAAAGAAAATAAATAAATAAATAAATAGATAAATAAATAAATAAATAAATAAATAATTATATATATTTATTACTCTTATTCAATAATAACAGCAACAGCAGCAAGAGCAGCAGCAGCAGCAGCAGATCCAGCCCTTGTTTAATAACACTCTATCTAGCTAGCTAGCTAGCTATCGGTATCCATATCTATTGTGTATAAATCTAGCTATAGTAGCTAGCTAGCTAGCTAGCTAGCTAATAAATAATAAATAATAACTAATAATAATAAATAAATAAATTAATTAATTAATAAGTCTTGTCTATAAGAATAACAACAACAACATACATAAATAAACAAGAAACATACCATCATCTGCTCCTCTCTCCCTATACACCTAAACCTATCAATCTATTCCCCTACTAACTAACTAACTAGCTAGCTAGCTAGCTAGCTAGCTATCCAATAAAGAATTACCTGTATTATCTATATTATAATTATTATAATTATTATCTAATAATAATTATACAAGAATATACCCACAATAATAATATATACAAACATATACAAGTGTCAATACATCCCCTACCTATAGACATAGACCCATCAATATATTCACCTAATTACTAGCTAGCTAGCTAGCTAGCTAGCTAGCTAGGTAGCTAGCTAATAAATAAATAAACATACCTGTATGATCTAGATGTTGATGATTATATTGTTGTGTAGAATAACCACAATTATAATTAATACAAACATATACAAGTGTCCTAGCATCCCCTAGCTATAGACTTAGACCCATCAATATATTCACCTAATTACTAGCTAGCTAGCTAGCTAGCTAGCTAGGTAGGTAGCTAGGTAGGTAGCTAATAAACATACCTGTATGATCTAGATGTTGATGATTATATTGTTGAGTAGAATAACCACAATTATAATTAATACAAACATATACAAGTGTCATTGCATCCTCTGCTATTCTCTCAGGTAATTGGAAGAAAATACATCCATAACTATTACATAAAGGACATAACCAATTATTTATTCTCCCTAATGTTGGATCTTGGCATAAATCACGACTTATTATTATATCCTCCCTATAAATATTATAATAACAAGAAAAAAAAAAAAAAATTATACCTATTTATTTATCTATTTATTTTTCTATTTATTTATATCTATTTATATATATATATATATATATATATA